TAAAATTAAAGAAAAAATTGTAAAATCATTTTTAATTTTTTTCTGAGTGTAAGCGAACATATTTTCTCAATATTTAAAATTCTTTTGGTGCAAAAATGTGCCCTTCTTTAGTTTTTTATTTCAATTACCCCGAGTGTTTATTATCATTAAATCTCACTTGGTTTAAAAAATTAAAACGGGCCAGGCCCAACATAATTCGTCCTGCATTTGTGGGGACCCCACCCATATCCCCAAATAGTTTTTTTATTTCAAGATTTTATGTCGGCACGCAAAATTTACTTAACAGTACACCCATGAGAGTTAAAAAACTGCATTACACACTCCCACACACACACACTCACGCATGTGAGCACAGGAAATATATTTTGTGGCTAATAGAATTTATTTTCAGCACGCTTTTTTAAGTGCTGGTGGTGGTAGGTGCTGAAAGCGGAAGTTCGTAAAAGTTGGTTATGTTTGTAAAAGGCTATAATTCGCCAAACACAATGGCTGAACAGCAAGTAAATAAGATATTACAAAGTTCATAGCACCCCCTCCCCCACCCACACATATGTGGGGAATAACCACTAGAAAAAATTCCCATAAGCGACATAAATAGCTGACAACATAATTGTAAAATTTTACAAAAACAACAACCAATACAAAAAATACAAATAGAAAAAAAGGAAAATTTGAGGTGGGGACAGGAAATTAAAAATTAATGGTTCGAGCAGGGCTTAGTCACCCACCCAACAAATTAAAAAAGAGACATACAAATGTAATAGAATAATTAAAATAAAAAGGCATTACCCAGTAAATATAATTTCAGCATTAGGAATGGGAAATTTTCAAAATAAATTTTTTCTAATTTTTAATTAAATAAAATAAAATTAAAAAAAATAAAATTAAAAAAAAAATAAAATTAAAAAAAAAATAAAATTTAAAAAAAAAAAAAAAAAAAAAAAAAAAAAAAAAAAAAAAAAAAAAAAAAAAAAAAAAAAAAAAAAATAAAAAAAAAAATTAAAAAAAAAAAAAATTAAAAAAAAAAAAAAATTAAAAAAAAAAAAAAATTAAAAAAAAAAAAAAATAAAAAATAAAAAAAAAAAAAAAAAAAAAAAAAAAAAAAAAAAAAAAAAAAAAAAAAAGAAAAAAAAAAAAAAAAAAAAAAATTAAAAAAAAAAAAAAAAAAAAAAAAAAAAAAAAAAAAAAAAAAAAAAAATAAAAAAAAAAAAAAAAAAAAAAAAAAAAAAAAAAAAAAAAAAAAAAAAAAAAAAAAAAAAAAAAAAAAAAAAAAAAAAATAAAAAAAAAAAAAAAAATTAAAAAATAAAAAAAAATAAAAAAAAAAAATAAAAAAAAAATAAATTAAAAAAATAAATGAAAAAATGAATTTTCAACTTTTTATTTTTTTAATATTTTAAAATTTTGCTATTTTTTATATTTAAATAAAAAAATATTTTTTTAAATGTTTTGCCTTTAAAATATCTGTCCAATTTTTCATTTTTAAATGAATAAATATGAATCCCCATCCCCCTGAATCTAGAACAATATTTCACCTTACAGTACACCCAGTGGGAATCGATTTGAAATATTGGATTTTTTTTTTGTAAAATTGATTTATTTGTTTGAAAAAAAAATACCGAATTAAAAAAATTACACTGAAGAAGATCTCAGTCCATTCCCTTGAAATATCATTCCTTAAATAAATTTATAACAATTTTTCACCTTACACCCACCCAGCGGGAATGGTTCGAGTCCACATAATGGAATTTTGTAAAATCTATTTATAAAAATCGAATTTGATTTAAAACCCAAAAATGTTCTTTTCAACACTAATCCAATGATATTTAATCATATGGTGTTGTATTTTATTTTTGTATATTGTTATTTTTGTTGTTGTTTTTGTGCCTCTAAATGTCTAGGTGTGAAAGTGTTGTGCGGGTGGGTGGTCGGCAGCAGCTGATATAAGTTTAATTATCAAAATTCTAATGTATACATACACTTGTTGCTCTATACACAAACGCACACACTTATATACATATTTTTGTATATATTTTTTTGGGTGGCTATCGTTTGCTTGCTGGTGTTATCTTTTCTTTTTGTTTCAGATTATTACTTTTTTTTGCATTTGCGTCAGGAAATAAATGTGCGAACAATTTGTGTGGTGGTTGGCGGTGGGTGCCTTATTAGATCAGCCTATAATATGATGTAGTAGGCCTACGGAAATTGTTACACATGACAACAACAAAAATTTTGGGATATTTTTCTTATAACGAAATCTCGTTTCATGTTTAAATATTTATTTAAGAAAACAAACATATTTTTTCTCTTCTTTTTTTGTTAATATTTTATCACTTTCTATAAGGCTATACATTTAATTTATGCATTAGCATTAACCTGCTATATGTCAGTCATTTCGTTCATCCACTCCGCTATTGTGGTTTAATTTAGACGCTTTTGTTTTCTTTTTTTCGCTGCTAGGTTGGCACTTTTACTGCAGGCCTTCTTTTCTCCCTCTCTCCTCTTTCGCCTACTTGGTGATATTTCATTCCTAAGGTGTTTCTTATGTAGTAGGCCTACATTTCTTCTTCATTTACATTTGCGATTTGAATTTTTGGTCTGGTGATGTTTTGGCCGGTCGCTGTCGTCGCCAGGCCCCCTATTTATATGCGTTTTTTGTTGTTGTCATAGCCGACCGAACTCATATGATATTTGATTTTCTTTCTTTTTGTTGTTGTCGTTGTTGGTTTTTTCGCCATAGGCTTTCCTTATTAGATTGGCAAGTGGTGGTGTATAGTTTAGTTTTCTTTTGTTGTTGTGGCTGGTTATTTATATGTTATCTACAAAAATTTTATATATGTATGTATATATAATATATGCTGTATATATACATAACATTTGCGTCAAAAATTTTATAGGCTTTAACTTTTACCCCGCCGCCACCACCGCTCTGCTATATGCCGTCTCATATGATTTTTTTCTACGTTTGTGCTATTAGAGAGCATTGCTAAGTCTTTTTGTTGTTGGCGTTGTTCTTGTTGTTTTTGCTTTCTTTGGACTTTGTATTTGTTGTATAGAGAGTATTGCTAAAATATGTTTTAATTTTTTATGTTGTTGTTGTATTTGGTGTGCTGCTGAAATATAAGTATTGAATTTGTTTTTTGTTGTTACTATGCGGAAGTTTTCTTAAGTGTGTCGAGCTATCTTGACGCCGCCGTCCGTGTGGACTAGGCCGACCGTTTTGTCGAACTTCTTCCCCTCCTCGTCTCATCGAGAGATATCAAAATGTCGTTAACATATGGGAATAGGGTTTCTTCCACTTCAAAAAATGGTTATGTATTACATATTGGAACAACCTTTTCCTCCCCTTATCATACATAATTTTTACAATACAATAATTTGTATATAAAAATAATTATAATTTAAATTATATAAAATAAAAAAAATATATATTTTTTATTCGAATCCTTTTTTCCTTATTCGTTTTTCTTTTATCTCCCAATTGAATCACATTGCATTTGATTTATTGTTGTATGCCTTGTTAAAAAAAAATTAGTTGCACGGTCCCCCATATTATTTGCGAATTATTGCCCCCATTAGTGGTCTTTTTTATTTCAAGCTTTTACCATGCATTTCCATATTTTATTTCATAGTTTTACTATCATAAACTTTGTTTCGAAAAAAAATCAAAACTCTTTTTTTATTGGCTTATTTGGCCCAGGATTTATGACCTCAAAATGATTTTATTGTATGCCCTAAAATAAATGGGCAAATGGCGCCAAAAATCTAGCAGCAAATATTTCGTTTAGCTTTTTTTTTCTTTCAATACAGCACTTAAATTCACAGACATGATTTGTCATGTCATGGTGGGAAATGTTCAGCAGGATGTGGGGAAAAAGTTCAATGACATGGTGGTTTATAAGAGACAAATGTATCTAAAGAGGCGGAGAGAGAGAAAGAGGGATTTTAGTTCAGTTAGGAAGAAAGAAAAGTTTATTAACCAATTTTTTTTGGCGGAAGAGGGAATTTTGGGGGTATACAACCAACCAACATGACAACCAAATTGTTTAGTTTTTCCAATTTATTGTATACCATTCTCTAACAACAATAAATAAAGTATGGAAAGTTGGTTCCTTTTCTTGATACTAATGTGTCGCCACCACCATCATCATCGTCATAGTCAAGAAGAAGAGCCATAGACTCTTGGAATTGTCTACGACGACGAAGATGATGATAATGATTGTTCGTAGTTCTGCTTCTCAGGCATTTGTAATCCGCTTTAAAAGTCATTGCATTTTTCTGCTTGCCTACCTCCTCTGCTCGTCGTCCTCTTCCCCATCAGGCATACAACATGTTCCATATTTTTTTTGTCCCGCAAATTTTCTATGACAAGTGTCACTATGGTTTGGCTGTGGGGAGTGCCACATATATATCCTCTTTATGAATGAATAATTGCCTAACATGACTTTATATGAACTTTTACACATGACTAGTTGTTGTTGTTGCTGTTTACAACCCCAGTCGTCGTAAAAGGTATCGGATTAGAATTCATATATTTCACTAGGAGGAAAACATATTCTTTATGTAATTTGATTTCTTCTCCGTCTTTTTCACTGGAATAAAATGCGCTGAACACAGATGAATTTTATTTCAAAGACTGTTTTTTTTTTCAAATTGTGTCATATACTGAACTGGCTATAAAATAAAATTTCTTTTTTTTAAATATAATTTTTTTAGAAATATTAAAAAAAAATTTATATAAAATATTGTTTTTTAATAAAAAATATATTATATTTAAATAAAATATTTTTTAGATTAAAAATATTTTTTAGAAATATAAACATATTTTTATATAAAATGTTTTTTTTTAATAAAAATATATATTTTTAATAGAAAAATATATATTTTATATATTTTTGTTTAAAAATGTATTATTTTTAATATAGAAATAATTTATATATATAAAATTTTATTTTTGGAAAATTTTACTAATTTCCCCCTCTCTTTTTCATTCTCTTTGCAGAAGAAGAAATCGATGTCGTCTCTATTACGGATAAAAAATTACCCACAAATCCCTCGGATAAGGATCGTCGTGCCCTACAAACCAAGGTCGCTCACAAATTCAATGCTGCTCGTATTGTCAAAACACCGAACGGTATTCGTACAATACCGCCTCGTCGTCGTGGCTCTTACGAATTGCCATACACCCCAGCCAGCAATAGCCCGGTCAAATCGGTCAACAATTCGCGATTCCCCTCACCGGCTGCCACACCCTATCAAAATCAATATACCACCAAATATGTACAACAACAGCAACAACAAGTTATGTCCGTTGTTGTGACAGATTCCAATACCGGTGTCCCATTGAATATTTTGGGTACAACGGAAAAATCACGTAAACGTTTGCTGGCAACAAATTGTGCTGCTACCACCACCACCACAATCATTAATGGTGAAATAATTAGTGGGACAGTGTTGCCACCTAGTAAAAAGCATCGTGGCAAAAAGACCAAACATATGGTCTCCACCATACATTTGCAACCTGCTTCGGGGGCCGTAAGTCGTAGCATTAGTTTGGATGAATCGGCTGATACCATTGAGAAGCGTAATCTCCATAATGATATGGAACGTCAACGTCGTATTGGTTTGAAAAATCTTTTCGAAGCTTTGAAGAAGCAAATACCAAGCATTAAAGATAAGGAAAGGGCACCCAAGGTGAATATTTTGCGTGAGGCCGCCAAGCTGTGTGAGGCCTTGACCAAAGAAGATCAACAGCTGTGTGAGCTGAAGGCTAAGCTTAAGGAGGAGATGCGGCGGAAACAGGAGCTATTAAATCAATTGAGACAACAACAAAGAGATTGATAAAGCAGCTGAAAGTGAAAGTTGCGTGTGATGGTGATATCCACGAGATTTTTTGAAGCCGAGAAAGAGAGAGAGAGAAGAGATAGAGAGTGAGAGAGGAAGTGGGAGTGATATGTAACGACTATTCAACAAAAAGGCAATGTACAGAAGAACATGAATGTAAATCTGGCCTCTGTGGTGGGGTTATGTGTCAGGTACCATATACCGAAAAAAACAACCACAAAAGCCGGTATTTGTTTTTTGTAAAAAATGAATGATTTTTAATTTTTTGAAAAAAAAAATTCCTAGAATAGTTTGCTAACCACCCAAACCCTTGTGAATTTGATAAGAGTTGAGAACATGTTCCCAGATGAGAAAAAGAAATTTTAATTTTTTCGGAACTGTTCGCCAAAAAATCACGTTTTTAAGCCCGGATTTTGTTAAATTCCTTAAATTCGTTGATGCAAAAAAGAAAAAAATTGTTATGTTTTAAAATTTTGATTTTTATTTTTTTGAATTGAAAAATTGAGTTTTTTTCCTAAACACACAAAAAATATTAACCCTAGTTTTTAAGTTGATTTGAACGTATTTTTTATGATTATTATAATTTTTTTAGATTTTTTCCCACTTTTATTTATAACTACAACAAAAAAACAACTACTACTACTATATTGGATATTGGAAATTTCTTTTAAAAAATTAATAACATTGACATATTTGCTTTGTATAGAAAAAAATTGATTAATTTATATTTAAAAAAACCCAAACTATTTTTAATTAATATTACAACAACAACATTTTTTCCTATTACTATTATAACAACAACAAAATTTATTATTATTACTATATATCATATAATGTTTAGAAATTTTAATTTTTTATTATTACTTTTTTTTAATTTACTATTATTATTATTTTTTGTGATAGCAGTGTTTAAATATACATATTTTTGGAATCCTTTAATGATGAAAAGGAGTAACAAAAAATCGCCCAGAAGATAATTTTGAAATAAATAATTAAATAAAACACCCAGCTAAAGAAATGGAAAGAAAAATTGTCGAAAGTTTATGTGAAAATATCCCCCCCAAAAGTGAAGTAACAAAAATTTGAAATTTTATGAAATCGTAATTAATGAAGTGTGGAGAATTGTAATGGGATTTAAATTATTTTGTTTTTATTAAAAACAAAAAAATCTAAAAAACTTCTGAGCGTAGTAGCCGTATAGAAATTGAATTTTGACAGCAAGTGATTGGCTTTAAAAAACAACAACAAATATTTATATGTTCAAACCTGAAACAAAATAACCAAGCTTCCTATTTTCAAAAATGTTTTTTAATTTAATTTTTTTAAATAATATATAATATAATACATAAAAAATGTTAACGTTTTATAATATTAAATTGTTTCATTTTTTTAATCACTTTAATTAATTTTTTGAATATTAAAAAAATGCTTTCGGTTTTACATTAAAAAAAGCTTTATAATTATTTTTTTTTAGAAAAAAAAACAGCGTGCTTAGCATCATATTAAAATTGAAAGAAATTGAATTATATTTTTTTAATTAAAAAAAGAAACAAGGGAAACAAATTTATTAAATAATCTTTTCCCAGGAAAGCAAGAAAAAAAGAAAGAAAAAATATGGATTTGAAAAAATTTTGTACAAAAAATATTAATGAAAAAACTACCAAAAAATACAAACACACACAAATTGAAATGAAACTGAGCTTTCCGCCACAAAAAGAAAAACTTATTTAAATATGTCTCAAAAACAAAACTGAAAATTAAATGAATTATTTTTTTATTTTTAATTTTTTTTGCTATCTTGAAATACCTGAATTTTTTTACATATACATATAACTACAACTATTTTTTTGAAGAATAATGCAAACTACATACATTTTTATTTTTGTACAAAAATATCATCATTTATATTTAATTTTTTTTAAATTAATGTTTTTCCTCATCCCTAAGAAAAATAATTGATTTTTTTGCATACATATATATACCTACATATATATAGAAAATATACATACTTACATATATATATATATGTTATTCTATGGAGTTATATTAAATTTCTTCATACCATTTTTTTCTACAAATTTGAAAAAATTGTTTTTAACACTTGATATAAATATTACCCTATATATAAATAATAAATGAAACACCCCTATACATACATCTTATATATATACTATATATACAAATATATATATAAATATTTACAAAAACAAGAAAAATTTAACCATTAAGGAAAACAAAAACTAGGTTAAGGTCTATCCGTTTGTGTTGGTGTGAAAATCCAACCACCACTACTTCTACTAAAGATAATAGTAAGAGGAGGGGGTTCTTACCATTACAATAACAAACTTAAATCTGATAGACTTTCAACCGATCAACTGTCGATGTTTTTATTAAGGTTACTAAGATTTATTTTTAATTCATATATATATTTTTTTCTAATACGTTTTTTTGTCATAAAATATTTAAGTGAACACTATAATTATAAAATAATTTAAAACAAAACGTGAAAAGTGAAAACAAGTTTTCAAACTATTGAAAGAAAAACAAATAAAATACACTAGTTTTTAAAAACAAAAATAGCAAGCAGACAGCAAAACAAAAATCCCAATTTTTCCTACATTTTCATTGACGAAATTTTTATAAAATAAAACCCAATGATATGACCCCTAAACTATATTTTCTTTTTTACTAAAATACCCGTCCCACAAAAAATCCCTACTATTTTTCCCAAAAAAAAAAAAAAACTGAAACTCAAAAAGTGAAAAGAATTGTTGTATAATTATTAAAAAAACATGAACTAATTTGTAATAATTGAAAAAAATACGTAAATGAAAAAATGAAAAAAAAATAAATAAAAATAATTATAACTTGTTAAATTGAAATACCAATTAAAAAAAATTAGCATACTTTTTTTTGAATTATTTTTTCTAATATTTTTTCTTTTCTTTTGAATACTGTTTTTACTGCTTAAACAAAAAAACTGTAAATATATATAAATTTAGCATTTATTTTTTTATATATACACCTATACATACTTATATATATATACATAAAGAAAATGAAAAATATATCTATATATAGAAAACTACTATTAAAATTGGCAATTTTTTTGAATTAAAAAAACAATTTACTTTTAAGTTTAAAAACCAACAAAAAAATTTAAAATAATAATAATAACTTTAACCATAATAATAATAATGATAAACTATTTTATTTCATTGATACAATTTTTTCTTTTGAAAGAAATATATTACATAATAATAAAAATGAATTTTGAAATTATAAAAAAAAAAAAAAAATCACAAAATGTTATCTTTTTATTTATTTCAAATTTTTTGGTTTTTTACAACAGAAAAAACACAAAAAGGGGGGTTATGGGTTAACACAAAAACAAAATTTAAAAAATTTCCATATTTGGGGAATTGGTCAAAAATATACCTTATGGGTATATTTCCTTGGGAGAAAAGGAACAAAAGGGAAATATTCCACAAAAAACAAGAGTTGAACGAACAAACAACTACATCAAAGGGAAAACACATGGGAGATTAGATATTGAATATCTCTCAGCATGTTGAGCGGAATCAAAATTCCTTCAATAGGTAGGGACCTTTATATGGGCACTATTTTATCATAAATTGTCAGTTAGTAGGTTGTTCAACTTCTGAAACAATTAAATATCAAAGAGCATATTGCGTCCTGAAGGCTATTTAAAAATGGACTTGTATCGAAAATTGTCTGCAAAGATTTTTTCGTCGTCCAAGAGCATAGGATGTCAAATTACACTCCCTTCGGTGGGCCAAATCTTTAATGTATCAAAAATTGGGTGTGACACTTGTATAGAAGTTATGTCAAAACATGGACTCATATCGAACATTTTCTGTCTCCTACCAAAAATGGGTCTATAATGACCACTTCCGCAGATATGTTTTTTACCCTATAAACACCCGGAATGGCAACGTGCCCTCAATTTGGGGCTGGAAATTTAATTAGGGTTTTTTCACAAGATGGACCACCAACCCGAAATTCCAATTTACAACCCCATCAGCTAAAACCTCAAAAATAACGAAAATGGGGCAGCTATAAAACCTAAAAAAAAAAAAAACGAAAATAGGGCGGTTCACTTATAATTTATAATTTTCTCCATAGACAAAACCCAGAATGCCTGCTAGAATAGACTAAAGATCATCAGAAGCATTCCATAGCTGACATATATTTCTCTAGAAAATCTTTAGGAGATATTCTGCCTCTAGAAAGCCTTTTTTTATACCGAGAAGATAATTTGTTCATATCTGACATTTCGATATCTTCAATCGAAGACCTTCCTTTTGAAAACCTTCATCCAGAAGTCATCTGGAAATGATATTTGGAGGTCTTTAGAGGAGGCTTTTGCAGGATTTTTAGAGATCTTACATTACATCTTTAAGGACCTGAAGACTTTTAGATCTTTCATTAGAGTTCATCTAGAAATGATTTTTGGAGGCCTTCTAGAAAAGGCATTTGTAGGTTTTTAGTGATCTTTCAGAGAAGACATTTGGAGGCTATATAGAGAGGACCTTAGAGACCTTCTAGAGAAGCTATATTGAGTCGATTTTTAAAGGCGTTTTTGAGTAGATTTTTTAGAGGCCTTCTGAGAAGATCTTTAAGGGCCTGAAGACTTTTATAGACCTTCCAGAGCCATCAAGAGAAGTTTTATTAGAGGTTTTTAGAGTAGACCTTCTACAAACGTCCATTAGAAGTCATCTAGAAATGACATTTGTAGGTTATCTAGATGAGGCTTTGAAGGTTTTTTAGAAATCAATTAAAGAGCTTTAGAGGCTATATAGGGAGCAGGGTGCGAAGAATGATTAAAATACGCTCTTTCTTACGAATGCTCACGGTCGAGAATTCGAATGTTTTCAATTTATCGCGAATGACAAAGTTACAATGAATGCACAAGCATTTGCATTCACTCGCGAATGTTCGCATTGTACGAAAAATACACGAACGAGCATTTGTTG